GGGATGGGGATTGGGGGAGGTTAAGAAGGACCCATCTTGCTGGCATTGTGAAGGATAGATTGACACAGAAACCGGAGGGAAAGAGAATAGTTTTGAGATTGCAGGAAGGTAAAGAATGGGACAGCAGTGTATTTTCACAGTGGAAAACTACACAGCGATTAAAATGAACAATTACAGTAAAACAGAACCAGCGTGGATGAATGATTCCATTTACATCAGGTTCAAAAACCTGATGTCAACTAGGCCATCATGTTTAGGATGTAACACAGATAGTAAAACTGTAAAGAAAAGCAAGAAAGTGGTTACTGTAAAAGTCAGGAGATCTTTGGAGAAGCGTTTGGGAGGGACAGAAGGGGGTTTGTGGGGTGCTGGTAGTATCCTATTTTTTTGACCTGGGTGTGGTTACATGGGTGTTTGCTTTTCTTTGTACTTTTCTGAGCGTTCACAGTTTTAAGGGGAGCAGGGATAAAAATGAGAACAAAAATGAAAGAATGGAAAGCCTGAACAAGGACAATGACTACAGAAAGAGAAGTTTCTTCGGTGACTTATTGTGCTTCTCTTTATTCTAAGAGGCTTTTTCCCCCCCATTTTAACATTTCTGAAATTGGGTACATCCCACCATCGATGGCCTCTTAGATGTGATGGAATGTGGGCATTTTGGGGCTCCTCACCATCCTGGCTGCCTTCCTCTGGGTCTCTGGCCTTCCTAGAGGGAACCACCCCAGAGTGGTGACTGGCAGCAGCCTGTGGCCCCACAGCCGTCAACAGGGAGAGGAAGGGGAAAAGCGTGTGGTGGCCTCTGGTGCTGTGCTGCTGATGGCAGGAAACCTAATGGAGGCTCGCTGGTCTGAATCAGGCTCCAAGCCCCGCTCCACCAGTATCTGTTGACACTGACAGGCTGTGGCTTCCCATCTGCTATGTCCCTTGGTGACCTGGCCCACCTCGTGGTGAGATCTGCATGGCTAGGAGGTGGAAGGACAATTGCCAATGGGCCGTGCATGAAAGAAATGTCCAGGGACCTGTGAACCAGCACTGGCTTAGCTTCCTTCTGAACCATGTCTGGGCAGAACTCATTCTTTCAACTGAAAGATGCTTTTAGCGTCAGTTTAGCCCAGATGAGAGTTGTGTTATGGGGCTATGGAGGGAGGTATCAGAGAGAGATGGGAAAGAGTTGAGGTCAGATTTCAGAGGAACTTCCTGGTGGCAACTACAGTGCCGTGAGACACCTACTTGGTGTAAATACCATAATTCCCTTCTCTAGAATCCTTGACTATTCAACTAGATGATGCCTGGAGGCTTTAGTGCATCGCACAGAGCGCGTCAATGGAGCACACAGGCTTACCCTGCACTGTCTCATTAAATCATCCCCATGTCCAAGAGGTAGGCACTGTTTTGCTATTCCCATCTAAGGATGGAAGACATAAAACAAAGGTCACTTGCGTGTGCCAGGGTCACACAGTGTTAAGGGGGGGTCAGGACTCGATCCCATCTCTGAAGGTCCTTTACTCCCTGGCAGCACTGCCCAGTCGTGTGAGGCTCCAGCTGTCCCTGAGAAGGCTCTGTCATCTTCTAGTCTGTTCTGTACCTCTTTTTCTTTTTTTCCCCTTGCTTTTCATGAGCTGTATATCCTTCTTTTTCAAGGAAGGATTGTCTACTTCCAGAGCGCCACTGTCTGGGCCCTTCTCTTCCACCTCCAGGGAGTTCCCTCCAGTAATGAGCAGAGAGCAACCACTGTGGCTTGATGGTTTGCCGTGATCTCATTTGATTCTTCTTCCCGTCCTTGGCCCCAAGCCTGGCCAGTCGTGCTAAAAGTAGCACTGACCCAATCGTGGTCTGTCCAGGGGCCAGGACTATTTTGACTCTGTCCTCAGGAATCATGTGGTCTGAGGTGTGTACAAGCTGGACTGCTCCCATGACCACTCAGATGTGGTGCCAGGAATGTTCTGGCCGACACACCTGTCCCCAAAGCTGCTAAATGCTGCTACTTACCCCGTGGCCCCCCGCGTGTGTCCTGGGATACCGGTTCCGGGAGGGACAGGCGGTGACGACCTGCACCAGGGAGCGGTTAGGGGCTTTATATCCTCGTACGTAAGAGAGCGACCAGCCGGTTTTGGGTGGCACTTGCTTCTCATAGCTCCCCATCAGACTGGAGCATGTTAATCTGTGTATTTGTGACATCCACTCCGAATGGGGGCCCAGCAACAGAAGCCTCCTTAGAGACAGCAAACGTTATTCTTCCAAGGAAGACTGGAGGATTTCCTTCTCTGGAGGCCGTTAACAGTAGAAGAACTTTTCGTCCTACTGGCTTAAACATAAGTCAAGTCCTAGTGCAAGGCTCCTGCCTGGAACGTCATCCTCTCCTCTACTAGAATGGCTTTGCCACTCTTCGAAGTCCAGCTGACATCCCCTTCCCTAAGGACTTTCTTCTTTTGTCACCAAAGGGGTGCTTAGCACGGACTTCCCATTAATAGAGAGGCTTTTTCCTCCTTTTATTCTTCCGTCTAGTCTGTGGGCTCTTAACTTCAGATACCTTTTGCTTGCCGGCACCCAGGATGTAGCAGATGCCCTGCATTTGTGGGCTGGTGAACCGGCACAGCCAGGACGGCCGCTAGCTCTGCTCAAGAAACCAGTTTGCATCTCCTTATTGTGCTAGTTCATTCCTCAGTTCCCTACACAATCCTTCAACATTGGCCTCTTTGCCTGTCTGCAAACTGTGCCTGGTCTGCACACGGGGAATAAACAATGTCTAATAAGATGAGGTCCCTGCCTGAGAGAAGCTCGTGGCCTAGTGGGGGACACATATCTTGCCGTCTGGTGGGTGAAAAGCAATCATTCAGAGGCCACCATGACCAGCTTTGCCTTAGGGAGTTGGGAAGGACCTCGCAGAGGCTGTGATCTGTGGCAGGCCCTCACAGAAGCTCAGAAAGGCACACGAGGACAGGCGGGAGGAAGCGCGCTCCAGAGGAGGGCCAGCACTTGTGAGGGCATGGAGGCACGAAAGGCCCTCGGGCCCGGGAAGGCCAAAAAGTCACCATATTTTTGCTGCATTTTGTCTACAGACCGGCTGGCTATGGAAAAGGAGGTTGCTTGGCTCTTTCCCACAAATAGGGAGGTTGGAGCCAGGCACTAGGGCTTGACCCCACAAGGTGTCAGAGTTCTCAGAGTCCCTGCCCCCCTGCCCCCTGGGGCCGTCTGCACTCCCTCCTCCTGTCCTCCCTCTGCTCCTTCCCAATTCGAATAAAATTGCCTCCTGTAAGGCTGATGTGCCTTCTTTCTTGTTAGAATCTTCATATTGTATGAATCCCAAGTCCCAGCTGCCTTGGCAGGGTGGTCAGGGTCAGAGGTTTGCATTAAAGCAACACATGGTCCTGATCGCTTCATGTGGGGGATGCTGAGGCAGGGAAGAGGCTGCTCTCCTTTTCCACCGATAATGAGAGTACCGCCAAGGCTGCTGATCGCAACCTTTTCCTCAGAAAGTTTTAAGCACCTTCCAACACTGATAATAACAGTATTGGTACCTTTTATTGAGCGTTTTACAAGTGTAATTTCACTTATTTGTTAGATGACTTGATGATGTATAGTTAAGTGATATGCCTGAGATTTCATAGCTAGTCATGATAGAGCCAGATTGTGAGACCTCCCATCTCGGGGACCCTAGACAGCTCAAGCACCACTTTCTAATACCACTCCAATCAAAAGGAATGATTTTAGCCTGAGGATGCTGGATGGCTTGATCTTCTGCCATAAGAGCCCCCAAACCTCCTCTAGCTTCCAGGACAAAACTGTGCCTTATTCAGATGTTCGCCACACCTTAATTGCACGCCTGCTGGGTGCCAGGCACTGGGCTGTGGCCTGAACAAGTCCTAGGAATGCATAGACTCAGCCATCATGTGGCCTCCCTCCTGATGGGATCAGGACCCTCTTCCCACTGACACCGAGAGCCTTTTCATCCTTTAATGTGACCTGTTCTGTCTTCCCCACCGCTCTGGCCAGCACCTGTTTCTCTCCTCCTCCTTAGCCTCTACAGTGCTCATCACCCAAACCACAGCATCGAGTGCTCTGTTTTTGCTTTCCTTCACTCAGCAGGCATTTGTATGTCATTTGTATGTGGAAGGCACTGGGGATATATTCAGTATCCTGGTGCCCTCATGAATCACAGTCTGAGAGAGGGAGACAGACGCGTAGTCAGTGCACGGGCTACAGCATGCGGGGGACTGGGAGAGACACCTGCCCCGCTCTTTCTCACCTCCACTCAGTCCTGTAAAGTGGCATCGCGAAGCAATGGAAGAAAGACTGGACCCAAATCAGAAGATCTGTGCTGGTACTACCATCTGGGGGACACTGGAGGAGTCATTCCGTCTCTTCATCTGCAAAGTGGGAATAACAATGCCTAACCTGCCTACCTTTCAGAGTTTTAATGATGTGCTTTAAAATTATGATTTTTTTCATGAATAAAATGCATGAAAGCATTTTACAGGTTATAAAGCACTATACAAGTGGTACTTATTATATTTCCCTTCTGTCTCCTAGCAATGCCTAGCATAAATCTGGGCACATAGTAGATATTCAGTAAATATCAGTTAACTTAGATTGATCCATTCACCCCGCTTACCACCTTCTATGGACGTTTGAGGCCACTGGAAACCCTGACACTGACAATGCCTGCTGGGGGCAGCAGTGAGGATCAAGTGAGAAGGACGTGCCTTGGAAGCTGTCAGTACTGAACCATCCTGGTCTTGGGAGACCTCCCTGGCTCCCCATTGTGTGGGCTCAGTTGCGGGCTGGCCAGTCTGGGATGTGGAGTCTCGGGCATGGGGCAGCCTTCCTCCAAGCCCTAGGTCCATTCTCTGTGGGGAGCAAACGTGACACTTCCCCAATTTTGGTTCCCAAACCACTCGGGCTGCCTGGCTCAGGATAGTGTCCATGGCATGGGCACAGTCTCTCGGCGGGGCCAGACCAGCATGTGCCCAGCCCTCACTAGCCTCCGCCTCTCGTTTCAGCACCCCTACCCCACGGAGGACGAGAAGAGGCAGATCGCAGCCCAGACCAACCTCACCCTCCTGCAAGTAAATAACTGGTGAGTTTACACCATCTGCACACAGTCTGCCATATCCAGGGGGCACCTTCTGGGCAGGGGAATGCGTAGCAGAGAAAAGAGACTCCCATGCCAGGATCTGCCTCAATCTCAGCCCAGCTACCATGCCAGTCCCTCCATTTGGGCTAGAAGCAGAAAGCAAGAATCAACACTGGCACCTGTGGCTTCATCTGCAGCTTCTCAGCGCCCTCTGCTGGGACATGGTGTCAGGCACATCCCTGGAAGCTCCTTGAGGAATAGAAAACCCACGCCCACCGAAGCCCCCAGCCCACCTGCACTGCAGAGAGAGACAGGATTGCCCACACCCGTGTGCTGGAGGCCAGTGCTCATGTGGTCTACCCCACCCCCATGTGAACTGAAACTGAAACGTGCTGCAAAGCTGGGAGTGGGGAGAGGGAGGAAGAGTAGCCATTCTGACCCCACAGGGATGTCAGCATTCCCAGTCTCTGTGCCTGGCTGGGCTGTCATGGGGAGCTCAGAGAGCACAGTCTGGCCGGATGGAAGTAGACCCGAGTTGAGGGCCCTGATCCAAGCCCTCGGCCCTCTGGAGGGAAGTCAGAGGTTAGTGCCTATGACTACCATGCTCTCCTCCCCTGTTCCACCTGGAAGGTCTTGAACAAGGATTTCTGGCCCCCCATGCAGTCTTCCCATACGACTTTGCAGTTTCCAAGCCCCAGGAGATTTCATGAAGTTCTCAGTACCCAGGGCCCTTCTCCCTGCTGGGCTTTTACATCCGGGACGGGAACCCCGATCTGCTCTGTGAAATGGAGTCTGAAGGCAGCTTCACCCTCCCTACCCCCCACCCCAAGATAATGCAGGCGGTGACTCACCAGGTCTCCACTTTACCTCTGGGCAGGTTCATCAATGCCCGGAGGCGCATCCTGCAGCCCATGCTTGATGCCAGCAACCCAGACCCTGCTCCCAAAGCCAAGAAGATCAAGTCTCAGCACCGGCCCACCCAAAGATTCTGGCCCAACTCCATCGCTGCAGGGGTGCTGCAGCAGCAGGGCGGTGCCCCAGGGACAAACCCCGATGGTAAGAACTGGGGCTGAGCGCACCCTGGACAAGGCCTGGGGGTGCTCCTGGAGCTTCTTTAGGTCAAGCTGTGCAAAGGTTCAAGGGCTGTCTCCTTACCTGGGCTCCCATCGCTGCTCTGTCACAGCAATTATCCCTCCCCAAAGCCCTAAAGAAGGGGCTGTTTTTGAACATAATTTAACAGACCAGATGCACTCTCATAAAGACAAGTGGCAGCTGGTGGTCACGCAAGTCAGTGACTGCTCAGCAGAGCCCCCCATGTCCGCACCCATCTGAGTTCCTTAGCACCAGTCAGTATCTGCACAGCTCCTCGGGAGCCAGGGCCATCTATAAATACCAAGGCAGGCAGCTGGCTCGGGAACAGAGGCCAGGAGGAGCTGTTTTCCCAGCCTCTCCATCACACCCTCCATATACACTTTTCTAATTGCCAATCGCCTAGTGCACAATGAATAATTCAATGAGCCAGACATTTTATAGCTTGGCACATGAAGATAGCTCTGCATAGGGAGTGGGGTGTAGGTGTGTGTGTGTGCACACATAACCTCATGCACACGTGTATGCGTATGGTTGCACACAGGTTCCTTTGTGCTAAGCCATCATCTTATGGGTTATGATGGGGAAAAAAAAAGATTTAGGGGACTAGACCAACCTGGGAGAGAATCCCAACTCTGTCATCACTGACAATGTCATCTTGAGCTAATGACTTAACTGTCTGAGACCCTGTTTCCTCCTCTTTAGAATGGGGAGAATAATACCTGCCTTACAGAATTGTTAGAAAGTCAAAAGTGGTCAACACATAAAGAAAATGCTCAGTGAATGGTGGCTGGGAGTGCTGCTTCCTGAGATGGGGCAGGAAGTAGCTGACAAGTGAATGGATGGGAGACTTCATACCAGGGCATTGTCCAGCTCAGACTTGGGCAGCCCTAGAAAGGAGAAGTTCACTGCTCTATGAGCCAGTCCATTACACCCTGTCCAACGCAGAGGTGCTGGCCCTGACCGGCAGCCCCTGCCTCGTCCTGACCCTTGCTTTCTCTCATGCAGGTTCCATCAACTTGGACAACCTGCAGTCCCTGTCCTCAGACAATGCCACCATGGCCATGCAGCAGGCTATGATGGCTGCACATGATGACTCATTGGATGGGACAGAAGAAGAGGATGAGGATGAGATGGAAGAGGAGGAGGAGGAGGAGCTGGAGGAGGAGGTCGACGAGCTGCAGACGACGAATGTCAGCGACCTGGGCTTGGAACACAGTGACTCCCTGGAGTAGTCGGGCAGCCCAGATGGCACTGATCATCGAGCAGGAGAGGAGTGTCGCCGGGAGGCCTTCAGGGTGGGGGGGAAGGGGACGTGGGCAGGAAGCACCGAGGGAGTTGGGCCCTAGCTTCCCCAAATCAGTAGCTTGAAGAAAGGCAGAGGAGACACCTGTTCCTTCCCAACCACCGAGCTTCAACGAGGACCCCAGTCCCACTTCCCCGGAACTGCCGAGGACTCTGTTTGGCGGGGCCAGTCGAGCAGCCTGTATGGAAAGACAGCAGTGAGATCTGGACTCACCAAATCCCTGAGGACAGATGGCACCCATGGCCCCCACCCATGGAAGGACTTGAGTCGTTTACAAGCCCTGCACTGTGAGGCAGATTGGTGCTGTTCGCAGAGTGGGCCTTTGCTCCGGGGGCAGACTTAGAAGGAAGGGGAGAGACAAAGGGGGACTGAGTTTCATCCCCAGAAGGTTCTCAGCTCCTTTGACAGACATTCAAGGGCAGGAAGGAGCCCCAAAGCATAACCAGTGGCCAGAGGAGTGGGAGGGCCTGAGGCATCACATCTTGCAGATCAGAATGGGATAGAATCCACCAGGCTCCAGCTCATCCCTCCAAGGCCCTGTCTCTGTGCACAGCAACCATGGACATGGGAGAGAGGGATGGGAGGCACAGTCCCCTTCACTCTCTCCTGGAAACAAATTGTAAGCTGGTGGGCTCAACCTGTGGGAGGTTAAGAGGAGTCCCTTCTGGGTTGACTCCAAGAGCCAAGGAGATGGCAGACCCTGGGCTAGGAGCCATATCAAGGTGACTTTGAGGCCACAGCTGTCCCTAGGTGGTCACAGAACTCAGCTCCTGTAACAATAGGACAATGGTGTTTTACCCTAGATGCTCCCACCCTCAGTGCTCCAAACCCTCCATAGACCTTCAGAGAAGGTGAAAACAGGTTATCTGGGAATCTTTCCACCCAGCGGGTCGCCACGGCCATCCCTCTGCTCCCAGGCTGGCTCCATCAGCCTCCAGCTTCCTTTCTTCATTCTGTCCTTCAGGGAAGGCAGAAGAAACATTGGAAGGCATCTAGTCCAGTGGGAAGCCAGGGGTTGGAGAAGGTGCTACATCCCCCTTCCCATCAATATCCAAAATGTGGGGGAGGGCCCAGAGAATGGCACCCAAGAGCCTGCGGGGGTGCCCACCCCACACACCCTGCTGTTCTAACCCTGCTGTCCACAGCCCTGGAGGAACTGGGGCCCCTGGGAGGAGGAGGAGGCTCTCCACTGTCCACCCTAACACATACCCTCCCACCCACCTTCCAGACCCCCTTGGTTGGTACCCTCTCCTCCTGTTCCCTCTCACCCCATGGCTGTGAATGACAGGACTGGTCACATGTGTGTTTTCCATTGGGTTTAATTTAATGGACGTGCAGTTTCATTTGTAAATTGTGCATTAGCCATCTCCTTCAGTGGCAGGATGTGAGTGGCGACCTGGCTCAACTGGAGGGGACCCGCGGGGCTTCCCCTCTGGGGCTTCCCCTCCCCCACCTGCTTGGGGTAGAGCAAAAGGATGGTCACTCTTCCGAGGTCTCCCTGAAATGAATGTATTTCTCCCCCAAAAGAGCTGATATTTAATGTTTTAATAGGGATTTTTGAGAAACAAATAACCTTATTTATAATCTGGGTGATCCAATCATTTTTTACTCCCTTTTGATGCCATACATAGAGGAAAGTCTAGCTTTTTTGGCGTGAGACTTTTGCAATGTGCAGTGGGATAAAATGCATTTCCTTTTCTGGTTCGTTTCTCTTGTTCACACACACACACCCCCCCCATTCCACTCACCACCTGGACAGGTGTCCCCCAGCACGGGCACACTGGCACACAGGTGCCCACATCTCTTCCTCCCAGCCCCTCCACCTGCCTAATGTTATGCAACCTTCTTCTGATGTATCCACCAAACCAGTACTGAATGTGGCCGAGACGTTTTCAGTAAATCTTATTACCTACCGTAACCCTGGTGCACAATTCTCTTTCTGTGGTTGCTGTGGCAATCCTTTGCTCTTTTCATGGGACCCGAGGCCAGACAAAATTTGGAGGCCTCAGTATACACCTGACTACCCAGGGAAGGGGACAAGGTAGATGTGCGTCCTGCGTGAGCTCAGCTGCCCTGTCTGGGGAGGAAGAGCCAAGTTCGGCACACTCACCTTGTGCGTGGCCAGTTGTAAGGCAGAGCTAGGGAGAGAAGGCAAGGAAGCTCTGCACTGCCCTCTCCTGGCAGCTTCCCCGACGGCAGCGGAAGCTCGGAATCCGGTCCCTCATGTCCACCATACTCCACCTCCCTCAAAGGCTTCTGCCTTCCCGTTTCCATCCTCAGCCCACGAGGGATTTCTTTTTTTTTTTTTTTTTTGTTTCGGAGCTTTTTTTTTTTTTTTTTTTTTTTTTTTTTTTTTTTTGAGACGGAGTCTCGCTCTGTCACCCAGGCTGGAGTGCAGTGGCCGGATCTCAGCTCACTGCAAGCTCCGCCTCCTGGGTTTACGCCATTCTCCTGCCTCAGTCTCCCGAGATGGGGTTTCACTGTGTTAGCCAGGATGGTCTCGATCTCCTGACCTCATGATCCGCCCGTCTCGGCCTCCCAAAGTGCTGGGATTACAAGATTTCATGATCGAAGCTGGTGCCACCACGGCCCCACACCTAACCGCAGTGCCCACTGTTTCCTGATCAGCAGGTGAAAGTCCCAGGCAGCGGGAGGGAGAGGCAGTCTTGGCTGCGGCCTTTCACCCTGGAGCTGTGTCCAGCGGGGAGCCTGCCCTTGAATCCCAGGGGTCAGCACCGTAATCCCCCAGGCAAGAAGAAACTCAGGGGCAGCTGATCTCCCCACAGAAGTGAGTGGCGGGCCTTCTTGTCACCTCCAGACGAGAGGGTACCTTCCTCAGTCACCCTTGCTGAGAGGTCTGGGGCATCTGTTTAGAAGCAGGAGGGGAGTGCCTTGTTCACGTTCAGGAATTCTGGAGAGTTTGCACGTACTGGCAGATCACCCCATGGCCAGGTGGAAGATAGGGAAGCCAATGGTTGGTTACACAGGCAAAGTGGGCTCCGAGCAACTCTGGTGGAGCTCCCTGCATCACTGCCCTCAGGAGCCCAACCTCCCTCCCCATCCTCACACCTGGAGAGAGTTCTGCAAACTCAACAGAAACCCCGCCTCTCTGGACAGAGGGAGAAAATCTTAAGAACTGCATGATCGGAACCTCACCTCCAGAGCTGGGAAGACAACAGTCCTTTAAGACAGTGGTTTCTAAGGAACACACTGTTGAAAGATATGCTACAAAAAAAAAAAAAAAAAAAAATCCATGCCCAAATTAGCCTAACTGCATATTCTATTTTGCTAGTAGAGTTTCATCATACACATTATACTAAAGGCTCTGAAAAATCCTACAGGAAAGAAACCTGTTTAACTTTGTTTCAGTTGTTCCCAGATTTGCTCCAACTCCCTTTTTTTCAAGTAATATCTATTCAAGTTATACTGATATTCCACAAAACACACTTTAAGGAACACTATTCTAAAGAAATTGCAGAGTAGCCTGTCCTACACTCTCCTAAGTTTTTCTGTCAAGTTCTACCAGCCATCTTTTCAACCACGCTGCCAACTGAAAGTGGGTTTTTTGTTGGTGTTTTTTTTTTTTTTTTTTTTTTGAGACAGAGTTTCGCTTTTGTTGCCCAGGCTGGAGTGCAATGGCACGATCTCGGCTCACCGCAACCTCTGCCTCCCAGGTTCAAGCGATTCTCCTGCCTCAGCCTCCCAAGTAGCTGGGATTACTGGCATGAACCAGCATGCCCAGCTAATTTTGTATTTTTAGTAGAGACGGGGTTTCTCCATGTTGGTCAGGCTGGTCTCGAACTCCGGACCTCAGGTAATCCACCTGCCTCAGCCTCCAAAAGTGCTGGGACTACAGACATGAGCCACTGTGCCTGGCCTTTTAAAATTATTATTATTATTATTATTATATATTTATTTTTGAGACAGGGTTTCACTCCCATCACCCAGGCCAGAGTACTATGGCACAATCTCAGCTCAATGCAACCTCCACCTCCCAGGTTCAAGTGATTATCCTGCCTTGGCCTCCTGAGTAGCTGGGACTACTGACATGCACCACAAGGCCCAGCTAATTTTTTTGTTTTGTTTTTGCAGAGATGGGGTTTTGTCATGTTGCCCAGACTGGTCTCCAACTCCTGAGCTCAAGAGATCTGCGTGCCTCAGCATCCCACAGTGCTAAGGTTACTGGCATGAGCCACCACTCCTGGCTGAAAGGGGTTTCTGAAATCACCTGAGATGTAGATAGTTGTGTTTTCAGGAGCCGACAACCTCTCTCTGTGCATGACCCAAATGCTACCCAACCCATAAAGACATGCCATAATCCCTGTGGAAATACGAGAGATGGATGATAGGGTGAGGGGTAGGGGAAGGTTTCCTTTACCCCAAAATAGAACTCTGATATCAGGGCTCTGGCAATGGCTCAGACTGACTTCTGCCCCCTACCCTCCCCCCACCCCACCGCCGACCCATCAGGAAAGACCTTTCAAGTTCAGGGATCCTGCTCATGGGAGTTGGTGGCCAGAGCTCAACTTCCTCGATCCAGGATCCCCTCTCCTGCCTTGCATGGGGCCCCATGAGGGCAATGACCGCCACACAGCAACCTGCTCAATTCATTGCTGATGAGTCATTGATTATCTCAGCATGCTTTTCTCTAGCCCTGACTCTGTCCCAGGCACTGTTTTACAAGGACACACCTGCGGCTAACAAAGACCGAGTTAGTTCTTTACTTCGGGGAGTTTACATTCTACTAGAAACGACTGAGACTGGTCCAGGTGCGGTGGCTCACAGCTATAATCCTAACACTTTGGTTGTCTGAAGTGGAAGGATCACTGAGCCCAGGATTTTAAGACCAGTCTGGGAAACATAGCGAGACCCGCCCCCCTCCCCGCCCCGCAATATCAACTATTTTAAAATATATATACATGAGCAAAAAGAAAAAAATTGAGACTGAAAGAGTGCTCGTAGCATCCTTGTAATGACTATAACTATGATCTCATCCTTAGCACAGAAATCTCAAACTTCATCATTCAGAGCTGCAGAGCAGGAAGCTTTCAGCTCCACTGCGAGGTTCAGTTTAAATTCCATTTTCAGACCTGTTTTGAGCCATATATTGTTTTTTTAAAAATTATGTGCCAACATTTAAAAGTTAGAAGGTTAAACATTAAAAAATCAGATTCCTGGCTTCTCCTGAAAAATCAGACAATCAGGCAACTTGGGACCTATATATTCCCACTCGGCCATGATTGAGTGTAGTTGAATTAACTGCTGCCCGCTAAGGCACGTTCTCCATGTCATCAGGACATTTGCAGCCCCTGTGCTCTCCCCAGCACTGAGGCTGAGGGTTCATTGCCCATTTACTATTGGCTGTCACTGTTTGGGTGACTGGTGGCTTAGTTATGCTTCACCCATGCCCTTTTTTTTTACTCCCTCTCACTGCAATATCTAAGTGGTTATTTTTAAGAAGGGAAATACTCATCTCTACTAATTACTCCATAAATAAGAAGAGCTGGGCGCAGTGGCTCACACCTGTAATCCCAGCACTTAGGGAGGCTGAGGCAGCTAGATCATGAGGTCAGGAGTTCGAGACCAGTCTGGCCAACATGGTGAAACCCCATCTCTACTAAAAATACAAAAATTAGCTGGGCATGGAGGCACATGCCTGTAATCCCAGCTACTTGGGAAGCTGAGGCAGGAGAATCGCTTGAATCTGGGAGGCGGAAGTTGCAGTGAGCCAAGATCGCACCGTTGCACTCCGGCCTGGGCGACGGGGCGAGACCCCATCTCAAAAAAAAAAAAAAAGAGTAAGAAAACAAGATAGTCCAAGAGGGAGAGCCCTGCCTTTGGTACAAAATATTGGAGAGAAGATATTTGTTTGTGGGCATAAAGATACTCCTACCTTTCACTGCAAAGTATACCTGTGTCTTGTATCCAGATATCTTCACTCACACATTTTCTGCCTACCTTGCCTCCCCCCAGGCAACAGTGAGGCTCGGGGCATAAACATCATCAGGGTTGCTTGTTATAGATACAATGTAGGTTCCACAACCGGTGTTTGCCTCAGATAGCTAGGCAAGACGCTCAGACGTGGAGGAACATTGCTCTCAGAAAATAGTTTTCAATTGTTGGCTAGGCATGGTGGCTCAGGCCAGCACTTTGGGAGGCTGAGGCAGGCAGATCACTTGAGGTCAGGAGTTTGAGACCAGCCTGGCCAACACGGTAAAACCCTGTCTCTACTAAAAATGCAAAAATTACTCAGATGTGGTGGCACGCACCTGTAGTCCCAGCTACTCAGGAGGCTGGGGCATGAGAATCGTTGAACCTGGGAGGCGGAGGTTGCAGTGAGCCAAAATAGCACCACTGCACTCCAGTCTGGGCAACAGAGTGAGACTCTGTCTCAAAAATAAAATTTTTTTAAAGAAGAAAATAATTTTCAATTGTCGTTTCAAGCTCCTTGCTTTATAGCTGCTCCTTTAACTTCCTTTAGCCAGATAGGCTACCACCCTCAAGCCAGTGATTCATTCAATACTAATTCCCAGGTGCCCACTATGTGCCTGGTATCCTACGAGGGACAAAGGATGATGAACTTTGCAGAGCATCACAGACCAAGGGACCGAGCACCAAGGACTGACAGAATGGCGGTCACCTCACACACTGCATTTCCACTTTGGCACCTTATTTCCATCCCACAGAGGAGGCAGATTTTATTATATCACTTTCTAGTGTATCTTATACTTTCTATTTCTCAGCCTGTCTCTGGGCCAATCTCATTTAGCCCCTTTGCAAATTAAATGCATCTCATTAAATCGAACCCATTTAGGACAATGCCCTTCAGGTGTGTGCATCTTAGTACATCTTTCATTTTAAGACAAGTGTTTGATTTATTTTTCATCTCATTACGCTCTTTAAAATTATGTGCATCTC